AGAGATCATTATTGGTAGATAAATTATATATATTTTTAAGAAATACTAAAGATTTCTGAAAACTATATTTCAGACGGTGTACTCCCAGCTTCTCATAGACTGATTCTTATGTTTTTGCGATTGAATGTCGGATTTTTGAAAATTACACTTTCTCTAGAGTTAACCAACCATATACAGCTAGTAAAATCCCTGTTGATTGAAGTCTTAGTATATGGATCTGGATGATCCCCTTGGCTTACTATAACAGTACTGTAGTCATTTTGTTTGTTGTAAAATTATTACCTCAGTTAAACCATTAGGTGGTTTTAAGTGACTAATTCTTCAGTTCATTGTAACAGCAACCGAACTCTTGTTTGCTTGCATTAACAGAACGCTGGTAATTACTGAACCTAGGATACCCTTTAGAGGTTATTCGCTGACTTTGACTTCTAAACGTAATGAATTGTTAACTGTTTTTCTTAGCAGACTAGTTCTTTTTATATTGCTATGAATTCACTTCAGGATATTCAAAAGCCAGAATACCAGTTATGTTGGGAGAGTGTATTCTTAATAATTAATTAAACCCACATGCATACGATGGATAAGCATACCGGAAAGCGAAGAATGTATGCGTATTTTACGGGCGCTAATACGTGAGTAAAATTACTGTGTGTTAAGATGAAGACATGCGTTCAGTCAAACTGACACATATACATACTGTGTCGAATGATTTCATGGATTATGTAGACTCTAAATGGGAGATTTGCGATCAAAGTTCAAGCTGACAGAGTTTTAAATAACTGTTGTCCTAGTCACATACAAAACAGCTGCATTAGGGATGAAAAGCTTCCCACATTGAATTTCTATAGTTTACACCAAAATGAGATAAAATTTCTTAAAAGCAAATGAATTTTTTATTAAACAAGTGGGCGGATAGACTATTATAACTATAACTAGACTTTATAATCCTTCATTTTAAAACAACTTGAATAAAACCATTTTGAGAGGTTATATAACTTTTATTAACAATTATCATTGGTGAGTAGTATTATTTCTTTATGAATGAATACGTTTCTCATCGTATGCTTCAAGATGGACCTGTTGGTTTACTTTCTGTTTGATTCAGCTCCAAAGTCACATGTCAAGTGATTGGGGAAATCACCAGGATGTTCTGCTCAACCAGGTCCCACGTGACTCTTTTCAAACAGAACATATCTACGATCTTGGGGGTACTGATGCTCTTTATTGCATTTGGATTTGGGTTACCCAGTGTTAAATTTAGAGACGTTGACACTAATTGCTTATTGTGAAGTGAACCAAAATGTTTGTTTTATCCTTTGCATTGATTGTTTAGTATCGATCAAGTTCTATTTTAGCAGTATATGTTCTTCTTTAACCTGCTTTATAATAAAAATTATGAAGAATCGGTGATTTAAATCAACTGTTTCCAAAAATGAACCACATCAGTACAATAACAATTTGTTACCTATAAGAATAAGCTACATGATTCTTTTCATTTTATGCTTTATACTTAATAAAACCATCATTAAAACTTATTGAATTCAGTTTTCCAATTTGGTATCTTGTAGCATGCGTACTAATTGTTTCATACTTATATTCCAAAGTACCTTGTTGTTTGAAGGCACTCGAATCTTTTAAAAAAAGGTTTTATGATTAGATATTGTACTTTTTGTGTGAATTGTTAGTGATAACATATATAAAACGATTCATTTGTGACGTATTCTTTTCATTTACCTAACCGAACAACAAATCGGGAGAAACTACAATGAATGTGAAAATTACCAGCAAATACATGATAATTACACAAAAATGTATCCTAAAATGAGTTCGATAATTTGCCATGCATTTACTAATAATGCAACATTTTCTTTACATCTAACAGGGGCAGAATGTCTACATGACACTCAAAACTTCACGTTCGGGATATTGTGAATGCTGATAAGTTTTACCTATGATGTACATCTAAAATACAAAACATTAATTGGCAAATTAACAGCAAACATTTTTTAACGATAGAAATTCTAAGTTGTCCCGTAACTAGGTACTTATATTACTGTCAACATTATGATAGAAATGAAAGTGTTATTTAGGTAAATTAATAAAGATGTATTACTGATTATCAGTAATATGGACGGCAATATTCTGTATCAGGCAAACGATTAGTTAAGTTAATTACCGTAGTAAACAAACATCTATTAAACTACTTTAATTAGAGGGAAGGAAAATATTAAAAATATGTTTAATACTGATTGTACGTAACGCTGCGGAGTAAACTCGTTCTATCCCACAAGTTATGCGAGTTGACGAAAGTCAGTCGAGCTTTCTGTTAATGTTTAATTTCAAGTAATTCATGATACTGCGAGACCATCTTCCATTATTTTCGTTGGATGTATGCTCGGTGGTCAGGAAGTTAACTGTTCGCGCTGGGTTCGGGTTCTCTACAGAGGTCGTGGATACTCACTGCTGACGAGCCCCATACTATGACGAAACGGCCGTCTAGTGTTTCTAGGCTCTCAATGGTGGTCTAGCATTGATTAGTTTATGATTTCAATGGTACTCAAAAACCTCCACGACCCTATACTAAGAATGTCTTGTTCAGTCAATGAGGTGGTACCGTCATATAGTAAAGCCTTATGACATGCTTTCGTAATAATATTTAACTACAGTACGATGTGTAGTGCCTACACAGCGCTCAACAAAAACTGTCATTTGTGCCCTGTTTACATAAATGAGAGGATCAAGCGCAGGAAGCATATAAGTTACTCAGGAAATAACTACTTGTCAGTTCACAAGTCGTTATTGTATTATATTTTTCGCAGAAGGATTGAGTCCAAAGTTGGGCTAATTAATAGAATTAGTGTGAAAACCTCAGAATAAGACATGTGTATTAGTGAAGTTGATTGTAGGCGAAAGACAAATATTCAGATAAGCACAACGTTTAAAACTACAATGAAAAACGAATGAATAGCCAATCACTACTGACATTTATTCTTACCGGAATAAACAAAACTAGTTGTTTATACAGGATTGTAGCTACATTGAGATACTTTAAAAGAAACATCTCTATTTGCCCTTTTATGGTCATAACTTTAACAAATACACGCAAACATATAAATATAACTAGAAATGGAGTGGACAAAACAATTATTTTATCTAGATTTACCGAACAGATAATGTAGTAAACCGACGCTGTTTTGAAGACATGAAATCCCGGTCAGTTGAAATTCCACAATAGTTAATCCATAAATTAAGTTCAAATATCTTATGCACAGAGAAATAACAACTGATTCAAATCATTTTTAGCTCTTGTGATCGATCCAAACTGTGTCAATTGTTCTGTATATCAGTGAAACCGTAAGCAGTAGTAAAATGCTGTGAGAAACCATGACCCAGATCTCAAAACACAATGTCTTTGTTGATATAGAGAAGGTGGTAAACTTGAAAGAAACCAAGTCGTAAAACATAAACATAAAAACGCTATGAGGAACACGCTACAGTGGAAACACTGTAAGAGAGGCATACAATAAAAGCGTTGTATTCTACGGTTCGATTCATATTCCAAACGTTTGATTAACCTCTTTACAAAGGAAGAAAACTAACAGAATATAGAACGCTTTACTGTTAAACTCCGAATAATTATGTTTACTGTTCACGAATGAATGATTCACTTGCATAAAATCAACCTACACTCGAGCATTGTACTGCCTTTAGAATATGTTTGACTGGCATGATGGGATAAAAAGGCAAAATTACATTTTGGTTCATTGTGATTGTCGATCAACATTAATTTCATTTTTAATTCAATATGCTGATTACCCAGTGTAATATTTTGTTTGATTTCCAGGGTGATGCTTATTTAAGATATGATATTCTTAGTATTGAATTAACGCGAAATATCTTCAGTGTGATAGGCAGCCTACGACTTTGTAATAATTTGGCCACTTTTCATATATATGACATTTTCCTAATAAATAATCAAATACATGTACCAATCAATATATAAATGAGTGCATTTCCGACTAGGGTCGTCGTAATCGTTTAGAGTCAATAAATCTTCACTTGTACAAGTTTCTTTTGTGTTCTTACTTCGTATTGTGGGAACTGTAGTTTCCTCGTTTTCAAGTATAAATAGTAAGCGACGTGGATATAATACTGGCCTGTCTACTTTTGTTCGGTATACCACACAAAAGCGTATTCCAAGAAGCTTTCTTTAATTAATTGGATTTGATACGGTGGGCCCCAACAATTTAGTTGGTGTAAACTCAACCCATATACTTGAATTCAAATAACACCCATATATTGTTCGATATACTTTTTAATCAGTCCCCATAAAGTGCGTACGAAACTAATACTTCAATTAGTATTTCAAAAAGAATACTAACTACATTAAACATTTAAAGTTGAAATTTATCATTACGTAGATCATAACCAATAAGCCGTAGCACAGTCTTGCCTAAAAAAGCGACTAAATGTACAACTTTGATTATAAATCGTGTAAATAATGTGTAACAAAAGATACGAAAACAAGAATGGCAGAAAGACTGACAGACGATTGTTGATCCACAACAAGAAATGTTTCAATCAATAAAACTATGATAATGAAAAACAAACCAATTTAACAAACATAATGAACGAAGAACATTTGTGAACGAAAAAAAAGTAAAAAAATACAAAAACAACTGTATCGTAGCGACCAAATGCAAAGTAGTTTATAAATTAGAATATAAGTTATAATCAATATATGAGAATTATGAAAGATATTAAGATGAGTGAAGTAAATCCACGGATTCATGAATTGAATAAAGTGTTAGTGGAATGATGTAAAATACCGGCAAAATGGAATAAGAACTTACTTCAAAGTTTGAGCACAATCTCAACAGAATAATTAGATATCTTAGTTGTCTGATGCAAGTAAGAAAATATCAGAATTTTCAAAAATATACACATTTTTAGGTAATGATCTTTCTTGCTGTACAGATAAATCAGTTTTTAATTTTGAACTAAATGGAGCATTAGCCATAGCCTTTGCAAGGATATCAATTGGTGTTGTTAATAATGTAGGTGCAAGATATGCGAAAGGTTTCAATAAAATTTGAAAAGCTCTTTCCGCTAGTCGTGATTCAACACGTGAACATAATAAAGTAGCTGGACGATAAATTGCAAGACATTTAGGAAATAAATTAAGTGATATTAAATCTGATTCTGTTTCACCTTTAAGTTGAAGATAAAAAAAGATACTTGATTTATTTGCTGCCTGGACAAAAACAACAGAAAAAATACATTACAAAACATTAATAGAAAGACAAGACAAACTTAGATAAATAGTCATTCCTAAACAAAAAGTGAGGAAAACTTTTGTTGAGATTATAATGAAATTAAGAATAAACAATATATTTGACTGTCAGCTAACGAATGATGAGTTTGAAAGTCATTTTCCATGTACTTCATTTGTGAAGTGCGAAGCCTGGTGATACTATCCGGTTGCCTAGACTGAAGTAGATGGAGTGGAGTTCAGAACTGGGACATTATGATCGGAAGTTGAACAGCTTAACCACTGTCCCAATTCGTTTATAGGCAGTCATAACCTCTCCTAATAATTATGTACAACTGAAAAATATTCAAGTTATAATTAGCTGTAGTAGTAATAGATACTTTCGACAATCATTAAAATCAATATTTAAAATATCAGAATAATTAAGAAAAGCTTTATCAACCATAGAGAAAGACGTGTTTGAGGCGCTTTTATATACTGTTAAATGTCAGTGTCCAATAACAAAGTAAGGGAAAACTATCAATTCACATTGAACTAATTACCCAAAATTAGTTATATTTATTCCTCATACATATACAGCTTCAAATTTACTTTTTCATAATGAAAATATCGCTTTTTTTTCACACTCACTAGGGTATACACAAATACACACAATTATATCGTAAGCATAATTTACTTTGATCGAAACATGACGTTGACATGGACAGACTTATTTTGATTGTACTGTGTATTCTATTTTTACCCTTTGTACCATTTGAAGTTGTGTTAATTTAATTCGGCTATTCAATTTATTCACTGAAGAAATAACTTGCACTAAGACTTGAAACGTCAGGAATTTGATTTTCTACTAATTAGAACATTACATATACATTATTTTATAATCAAAAGCTGTATATCGTGTAGCTTCAAACATTAAACATAATGTATACAAGATTTCATATTACAAGGCAAGCTATAGTTGACTAAATTATTAAGGACCTATTGAACGACATACAACTAATGAATATTGTTTTTAGCATCATAGTACCGTGACAATTCCGATTACTACATTCATTTACAAAAACTCATTTAGTTATCTGGGTGAATTAGATGATAATAATCAATGATATTCGATTGTGTCATCATTGGACTACTCTGAGACTTATATCACGTTCAAACTAGCTCCATGATAAAACGAGCACCTACATTTAGAAATTCTCTCTTCATTGTTAAATGAATAGTTGAAAGCAAAAACATATCAGTAATGTACGGAAAAGTGGGATTACATAAAATTGATTCTGGTAAGATTTATGTTTGGTAGAACAATTAAAGTATTGAAGAGTCGATATAATTTAAAAATATTGAAACATTGGGGGAAAATGCCCAAACCAAAGTGGAAGAAATTTTTAAGTACATACAAACGTACTAAATCTGGAGAACTATAAGAAACAATCAAAACTATAAAAACCGAATCAACTTTGAACAGTATTCCTCAGTTAACCTGTCTTAATAACAGATCACTACTTAGATATAACGTAGAACTTTTAAAAATACAAATCTACTGTGCGTTATACAAAGTAACACAAGAAAGTCAACAGAAATTAAAGGATATCTGGAAAATCAGGGAAAGTAAGCAAATTAGAATAAGATGTTCCAGGTCTAAAAGAGAAAACAAAATATTAGATGGTGGTTGGAGGTAGTTGACAGGAAACCTTGGACCGAGATTTCGTACTACTTGGCACTCGTCAGCAAGGTGTACCTGTAGTTTTAAGGGAACTGGTGCTCTTTGACGGATTCGATCCCGTGTCATCCAGTGGTAACACCTCTGACTGTGAAGCTGGGTGACACGGGATCGAATCCGTCTAAGAGCACCAGTTCCCTTAAAACTACAGGTACACCTTGCTGACGAGTGCCAAGTAGTACGAAATCTGGGTCCAAGGTTTCCTGTCAACTACCTCCAACCACCATCTAATCTCACAATAGTGCACGCAGTGTCGAGTCACCTAGGCTGGTGGGCACATTGCATCATGGTCGATAGCGTTCGGTCTGCACTAATAAGGACTTGACACACATGACATTAGTCACCACCCAGTGATCAATCAATTGTGAGAAACCAAAATATATTTAAGTTATTGTGATCATCTTCGAGTTCATAACCATGGTGTTCAAAAAAGTCTACAGTTTAAGGATGTAAATGAGAAAACATTCATTTAACAGTGACTAAACTTAACAGAATGACCACGCAAAGTTTCCTTATTAGGTCGAAAAAAATCACCAGAACATACGGAACTAAAACCCTTTAACGAATGAAATGTGTACGAACCTATTTCAGCTACTGAAATATCATGATGATAAATACTAATTCTATCCACTGTCATGTTGATCAGAAAGTTAGGTCAATGACTCAAGGAACGTTCAACAATTTGACCCATTGATTTGGTTCAGCGACACGAGTCACGGCAAAATTACGTTACTGTTTGTCCGCTTACCTGCCTACCGATATTAAGTGAAGTACGATCATTTACGAGAAATAAATAACTACTTTTATTTGCCGTCAGAAGTCCTATGTCACTTGTACTGGTATTTAGCAATAACTACATAAGAAATGAAGCGATAAAAAATTAACAATATATTTTGTCGAAATTTTGCATAAATGTCTCGAAATTCACGACTTACTTTTGAACTGACAAGATGAAATTCTTTACAGCCAGCTGCAGAACTTAACTTTGCAATATGAATTACATAGTCATGGTCTATTATCCTCATTTTTTCCTTTCCTGATTTTTTTAAGGTTGTCCCAAAGGCACAAAAACCCACATCAGTATCTTGAAATACTTCTTGATAGTCATCTAAATGGTCGAAATCTATAATAATCTGAGTGAAACGATTTTCAGAATCTTTGTTTTCAAAACCATAATCAACATCTGTTTTACGCCTTTGAATTAATTTGATAGAACTGTATCTTGTATCTTTAGCTAAGGCTTTGAGTAATGCTTTTCCTGTTTCGCCAGTACTACCAACAATGAAAGCTCGCAAATTAGCCATATATTTTGGTATATTATTCTAACAGCAAGGGGTTTCCAAGGTCTTCGACCAATATTAGTACAGCTGAGTGATTAAGAACAAGTGATGATAGTACAATCTTAATACACAATTAACTAATGTACCGAAGAACATCAGATACTGAATTGTACAATAAAATATAAAACAACAAACAATAATATAGAAATAGAATGAACATTTGTTTGTGGGTAGATTTATTTTACAAACAAAAAACATCACTCATACGATTTCGCAAGATATGCTATTAACATATAAGATTTCTATTAGCTTGGATATTGAGAGCAGCTATACATTTCCTTAATCAAACAGTCATAAAGGACGAAGAGTATAGTATAAATATTCGTTAATCAGTATCAGCTTTATAGATAAAGGGTTCAGCATCCGAACACTAAGTCCTGAGGTTGAACGCTGCTCAACAAACATCGTATTGAGCGACCGGATAGAATCATTAGCTCTCAAGAAGTGTGTGACGAGAATTCACGAATTAACTTCCAAGTAAAGCATAACTAGTAGGTAATTCTGGTCTCATAACTTAATTATAGAAGAAACCCATAGTTTTACAAGTCTATTCTCCATATCTTCTTGCTGACGACATGTTTTCAGTTTTCAATACCTCCAGTTGATAGGGGAAGGAAACTGAGATAATAATCCGGTGCCACCAGGTACACTATTGAAGGACGGATTTATTAATGGCAGCAATAACAGTTTTACCTATATTCCTATTCACAAAGAAATCTCATATTTGGCGAGACCTTAGTAAATCAAATACATAGTGCCCAAAGGGAAATCAGACACTATGTTAATGTTTAATATCTAAAAGTCAGATTCTCAATGATGATGAATAGCTTGACTCTTTAGGTAAAAACCTTAATCAGCCCACAAATTAAATTTGCCATCATACCGTTAAGACGACGTCCCCTAACTACACACCTACCATAACTAACAGTTAACTCAAACTTCAGAATAAGCCGGCGAGTCAAGTATGACGGTGACTGACTCGACAGAAACATAACTGTTAGACGTTTGACCATAAAGCTCAAGGTTTCCCTACTGTATATATTTGGAAATCGTAAATGAAATTATTTGACTGAAGTTTGAAGGATTATTATAAACACTATAAACACCGGTCATGAAGGTATCATCAATCCCACAAGGAACAATTGAGCCTAATTGTTCATTCAAATTGCTATTGATAAACCATTAACATTCATTTGTACATTGGATAACCCTAGCTCAACGTACCTAAGTAGATTGATTGGTAATCCAAGGTGGTAATAAGCTATAGTGATGATGAACTCTGGTTCTACATTGTCGCGAGTTCACAGTACACTTCTGACACATAGGTAAACCAAGCACTACTTCTCCAAACAGATTCAAAATACAGTGTCAAAGCGGAAATTGTGAATGAAGATGCGATGGATTTACCCTTGACCAGTAACGCACGAGTCCACAGCGAAGACCTACACGGTGCGTGCTGCTCTACTGTGGATATGGAGTAGCCAAATCAGCAAAGTTATTATTCCGAAACTTCAGTTGGCGGCCCCGGTTCTAGTTGTAAGGATGTATGAGGTCTTTTAAAATATCTGGCAGGTTTGTTATGCAAGATCTATTTTTAAAACTACTCAATACTCCGAAATGCCCTAGTTCAGTCGAGGGTAGGGAGAGCAAGCTCACTATCTCTCTCTGTAATCGTCTATACTGTGATGATTAATTTTTGAAAATAAATTATGCTATACACATACTTCGATATTCACGCCTGTACGTGATGTAAGGAGACAAATGAGGAGGTGTTAGAAGTTCGTATAAATTAGTATCCAGTGTTATTCCTCCTATATATAAATGACCTTCCTCGTCTACTATAATCATCAGTCTTGATATACGCTGACGATGTCAAGATATGGAGAGCGATACGAAGTAAGGGTGATAGCTTAGAACTCCAAAATAACCTGGAGAAATTATCTGAATGGTCTCAAACCTGGCAGTTGCCGAATAATACTTCAAAGTGTTTTGTGATGCATATCGGCCATCAAGGTACAGATACATACACGATGAATAACACTGAGCTACCTGTTGTCCAGACAAAATGACTTAGGAGTCATCGTCAACCAAGACTTAAAGACTACTGCACACTGTCGTGCAATAGCCACCAAAGGTTTTAGAACTTTATGGTCAATACGTAGGGCCTTTAGTCATGTCGACGCTAAAACGTTTCTGACTTTGTATACAGTGTTTGTGTGTCCTAAACTTGAGTACTACATACAAGCGGCTAGCACCTGCTTAAAAAAAATTGAACTTTTGGAAAAGATTCAGAGAACAGCAACTAAGCTGATCCCCGGAATAGCGAAGCTCCCGTATGATGCTTGACTGGCCAAGCTAAACCAATCCCTGTTGTCATATTGCAGAACTAAAGGCTGCTTGATTACAGTTTTCAAATCGCTAAGTGATAAATTCGCACCTGATGTGCCTTCATTTTTCTTGTCATCCCAAACAGAGAATTTACGAGGACACTCCAGAAAAGTTCACAAGCCCAGGAAAAATTACTTGTCAGCTGACTATCGAATTTCCCATCGAATCATCAACGAGTGGGATTCATTAGCTCAGCACGTGGTTGAGGATCCATCTGTCGACTCTTTCAGAAGAAAGTCGGATCAACTGAGAGACCATCATTGCCAGGACTAACACAGGCCATCAAGCCTCCTGTCCCTTCCAAACCGAAACTGGTTCACAATAAGAAACGAACTTATTTAAGAACCCTTATAAACTGCTAGATTTTTCCAAATATCAATCGATGATAAACATACCTGTTACTCAGAACGTGTGACTGGCACTCCAATGTTGATGATATTTATGTGGACTGTGTTTATAATTCCTGTAAACAAATTTCATGAACCGTTCTTCATCATAAGGCCAAAGGCGTGCAAATTTGGCTTCCCTAGGTAAGTGATTGATGTTCAAGGCATTAGGTAGTCAGAAGGTGGATTATTTAGAGTAGATTTGGGTAAAGGTAAAGTTTTGAGTTTTGATATATCTCGCGACATATATCTTAAAGCGCGCTTTAAGATATTCAGACCAAACGTCTATTCCCATAGAGCACATGCAAATGGAAATATCCTGGTGCAATTCAGCGTAAGTTCACACTAAGTTTTACGGGCATTTGCCTTTATTTCCCAGTTAAGCTCTGTTTGGGCATTGTAACTTAAGTTGAAATACCTGACCAACTGCAAACTAATGTGACAAATCAAAGTAATTTCCCAGACAACCGAAAAAGAGGAAATAAAGCGGACGAAAGCGTAAATAAAAGGAAATGCCGCTTTTTCGCCTTTACGTCGGTTATTTAGGGGAAATGTCGCTTTTTCCCCCTTACGTCGTGTATTTGGGGGAAATTTGTCGACAATTATACATAACGTACAGTATTTGAATAAACCGCATCCAGAACTTAAGTTTTCATAAACTTCGACGAATTAAGGCACCGCTTAATAAAAAGAAACTATTGTCATAAAAACAAGGTCCAAATTATGGAACCAGGCATTCGGTTGAGACGCATATACACTGACTTCGTTCTTTGTTTAGCTAAAGTGTTCAGACATGCTTAGGAGCCATCACAAAAAAGCTTACGTGATGCAGGTGAGTGACGTGCTCTCAGATTTTCTTGTTCATTGTGACTGATTACCTTATTAGGCCAACAATATGAGTTTTGTTGAAGTCAGTGAGAATGTTCGTAGACGTAGGGCCACTGTGAACTTGTCACGTTCCCTTGGTTGTCATAGATCCACTTATAACAGAAGGTGGAGTAAAATGAGAGCCCCTTTATGAAAAAATATGACTTTCTTTCGTTCAGTGAGTTTGCTAATGAAAGCACCCTAAAAGGTAACTGAATTCAACAGTGTTGTTTATTAAATTGATAGAAGTAAAGAGATAAATCAGTTGTAATGACAGTACTTCAAGTGTTACACCATCCACTAGCAACATCAATCAAAGGCTTTCAGATAATAGTGGTATGTACATTGAATTCATACGGGAATATATATCTTATAGGATGTACTGAAGTGAACTTGTGCTCTCAGAAGTTCGTAAATCGCAAAGAACTGATGAACGACTTTATGATGTATATAATGTCAAATACATATCTGAGCATAAGAGATGCTGATCGGGTTCTGTATGGTCTACGATTTCTTATCCCGGACATACCGAAAAGCATCAGAGGTGTCCTGAAGACGTGTCCAAATGTTCAACCAAAGTTCATTGGCATTGGGGTTTACTACCATCTAGGATTGAAAACCAATCTGCTAAGAAACGTTGAGCTTTGGTTATGTACTATTGATTTTGACTCTTTAAATTTATATATCAATACTGATGGACTTTCTATGTCTAGAAGCTCCAATCAACAGTTATGGCATATACTAGGAAGGATCATTGCCCCTAAGTTTAGGGACGTGTTCATGATAGAGATCTATGGAGGGAATAGTAAACCGGCAGAATTCAACGAATTTTCTGTTCACACAATTTCTGAAATAAAAGAAATGACTGACGTGGGTATTTTTAGTGTTAAGTTTAACAAATGCATAGCTATAAGGTTGGCGGCTGTTATATGTGACGCACCTGCTCGTTCTTCTGTTAGGTACACGGTAAATCATAACGGTAAGGCAGGTTGCGATAGGTGTACTGTGATTGGGAGATGGCTGGAGGGGAAGACGACCTTTCCAAATGGAGTATATACTTTAAGAACAGACGACACCTTCCGTCGTCAGTCTCAATCTATCCACTATCAAGGACATTCTATTACGGAGAAGCTTTCTATTAACATGATTATAACTTTTCCTTTAGATCCTATGCACATGGTCTACCTTGGTGTTACAAAAAAACTAGCGAATTTATGGATAGATTTAGCACGCAAAAGAATGCTGGACTGAAACTCATGTGCAGTTAGGGACATAAATAATTTAATATCAGGTTGCGTGGCAAGTACTCCTACCGACTTTCCGCATAAATGCCGTACACTAGACTTTGTATCGGCATGTAAAGCTTCGTAATGTAGGTTGTTCCTT